GCTTGTTCACACTGGATTCATTTGCATGCCCAAGACCGATTCTGCAGTGAAACAGAATTGTTATCATACCTGCCTTCAGAGTTCTTTTGTCCCTTAGCTCTTCAAGGTATGGGGAATATGTCTTGTGGCTCTTTACCCATGAACACTTCTCATAGCAGCCGGCAGGGTCAAGCTGCACCTACTGTAAACAGCAGAGTGTGGTCCTGGTGTAACACGAGTTCTTTCTGCTGGAAACTATAACCTCGGAGCATAAGCCATCTGTGCCGGGAGCGCAGTGCTACAACTCATGTGTTCTGACACTACCCTGGAGATGCAACTCCAACTCTACCAGCTCATCCAGTTGTGGCAGATTAAATGCTGGAGCAAACTGGGCCAGCATAGGGAATACAGCCGAGTAGTCAGAGCGGAATGGGAGTTGTAATCCTGCTCTTGCCATGGACTGACCTTGAGATAGACACTTTTCTGTAGAAGGATGTAATACTTAGCTGTCTACCTCTCAGGGGTGCTAAGAAGCTTAATTAATGTTTGCGTAGTAACTTGGAGCTTACCTAATAAACAGTGTTATATATTTGTGAAGTGTTGTTTTGCCGTTTGTCCTAATGTGTGGGTTAAACAGGAAGCAGAAGGTCGTGTCATGATGTCATTTGCAATTTCTGACTCAAATCTGCAGTAGAAAATTTGCTGACCTGCTTGCTGTACCTTTGTATGAGTTGAGAACAAGATAGGTCGTTTGTCCTACATTGGGTCTTCTCTGGTCTGGTCCAACCGAAAAGATGGTAGTGCAGGAATCTCAGCTTCGAATGGTTGTATTTCTGGAGGGTGGTTGATTAGAGCTGAAGTGACAAGTGGAGCCAAGAGAGCTTGCCTGAGAAAGTATTTTGAGAAGCTTTGGGATCTCTCAAGGAAGAATAATTATTCTCCCTCTTAGGCTTAGGGTCCTGGAGACCAGAGAGTGCCTCCTGGGAGTTGGAGGAAAAGGTAAAATGCAGCTTGCTGGAGAAAACGGTTGTATTTTCTGTATGGCTGATGACTGGCTGTCTAGTCATTTGCTGTGAAAGAGGGAAAAAAAGGCTAAAACTTGAAGCAAAGACTAGAACAAGGAGGACAGAGGATGAGGAAGGTGTGTTTAGAGAGCACTGAAGCAGTGTGTGAAACTCTGAAAGGTTGATGCAGTGTGTCTTCTCTTGTACTCAAAGGGCCGCAGGCTCTTCAAATGTTGAGGTGCTGAAGTGTCTAATGTTAGTGGCCAGGACTGCTGGGTGGAAACACATTACTGGGGAAGTTTTGTTTCTGGGGAAACAAAGCTGTTGTGTCATAAATCTAAGTCCAAAAGCATGGGGAACAGGTCTGGCTTTCTTTGGATAAAATGTTAAAGAAATGCTGGGCCCTCTTGCTGCTATTTCCCCCTTTCATTCTCTTTTGCGTGCCATTTGCATGATCTGCGATTTCAGCCAAAGAGTCCCTCCAACTTTTTCTGTGTAATGCTGCAAGTTTGTAAGCAAACAGGATAAGCAAGTGAGAAGCCCAGCAGCAGCGCTCGGGAATGTGAAGTATTTCAGAGTGGCTCTTTCTAGAAGTGAAACAGATTCTTTCTGTGTGGATCACAGCTCCTCCTGTGTGGAGAAACTTTCTTCCCTTTCCTTGAATCTGTGATGGGAGGCCCCGTGGGGGGACAGGTCCACCTCTCACCTGTCCTGTTACCTTCGTTGTGCTTTCGTAGCTCTGCACCTCGCTCCTGCTTTACTGTGCCGCTTTTATTCAAATAGTCCTTAGCAGCAACCAGTAAAATACCAACTCCTACGTGCTTAGGGTCTTCAGAGGAGGTACGTGCATCTTTGGAGTCACAAACCAACTCTATACACTGCCTCCCTGAACAGCCATAGGAACAGCTGCATTTCCAGTGTCCTTCTGCCTGACCAGGGGTTTTCTTTCCCTTGAGACCGTCCCAGGTTCACTGTTGAGCACCGTTACTTCTAGGACACTTTATGTCCCAGGAGGGACAGCTATAAATTAGAGCCAACTTCATTTCTTCCACTAGAGATGTTATCCCTTCAGGGAGGGTTGTTAGCGGTGGTAAATAGTGCTTTTCACAACATCCCAGGATTGTCTGATTAAATAATAGGAAGGCTGTGTGCAATTTAGCTTCTGGGCCCTGGGGAGGAGGATAGCAAGGGAGGCATGAGTGCCCGTTCTCAGCCAGCTCCATCCAAATGTAGGTGGTGGTTCAGGAGGAGATTCTGGAAGGAGTAGCCTTGACCCTGGAAGTTAGTTTTACCTGTGAGGTTTCCAAAATGTCTTTTGGGAGTGAAATTTCTGATTTGTTGAAAATTATGACATTTCTTCTGAAGTTTGCCCCAGGAAGCGTAGCCTGTGGTGTGTTGTCATTGTGTCCTTCGTTCCCAATAGTGAGAGGAACCTCAGTAACAGCAGGTCAGTGCAAAGGCTGCACTTTGGAGCCCCTGAGAAGATACCTCGCTGGATTTGTTGGCTTGGGCCCTTTGTGAGAGCTGATGCTGCCAAGAGGAGTCCGTGGCTGGAGCTGGGAGGGAGAAGCAGGATTCAGCAGGCAGGATGCTCCATGAGAGGTGGCACTGCAGGTCCAAGGGAAGGAAGCACAGACTGTCACGAGCTGTCAGATGTCTAAGGAGTGATAGATAGGGTTATGAAATTGGGACCATGAGTAGGAAAGGGGCAGGGAGCTTCTAGGTAAAGAGGAGGAGGAGGAAGTGGCCGTGAGCCTTGCCCAAGGGACAGGTTGGGAACCGTTGGTCCAGTGACCGGAGTGCAGGACAGGAAACCAATTTCCTTTATCTCCAACTAATGGGCTATGTGACGTGGACAAACTGGCCTACTTCTCTTTGCCTCAGTGATCCAGTCTGCAACCAAGTGACCTCACCGCTTGCCTTCCCACGTAAGAGCTTCCACAGGCTCCCTGTGCACAGCTTATCCTTTGACTTCCACCAGCAACCACTTCCCATTCGCTTGTCGCTGAAAGGCTTACGCGCCTTTGCTCACAGACTGCACCTGACCGCACGTTTTCTGAGAGGTTCAGAACTGGAAATCAGTAAATACAAGGTATTGACCTTCCTAGAGCTTTCCTCCAAAGAGCTGGGGTGGTCAGCTGAGCTGTTGAACCTGAGGCACTTCTCTGCCAGCCCTGGTGCAAATGCTCTTTTTCGCAGTAACATCAGGTTGCCCCAGCACCAGCTGGACGTGGCCCATATCTCAGATGGCACAGAGCTGGGGAGAAACCAGGTGCTGTTATAGAACAGGTTGGCCGGCAACTGGGATCTTGATGGGAGGACTGGGGGAGCACAGAAAGGTGCATTGCTCTGGGGGATTAGTACCTCTCCTGGCTGGAGCTGCTTCACACAACCATATTCGGACATATGACTTAATCCCGCTCGCTACCCAATCTGCTAGTAATAAACACGTAGAAGATTTAATGCATTCTACCCAGGAGAAGAGGGCTCAGCCAAGAAGCTTCTAACTAGGTCACTGATGAGCAATCTTTCCCCTCCCTCTGTGTCATTTTTGTTAATCACTTGAAAAATACATTGAGTAATGATTGCAAGCAACTTGTCAAGCCAATTAAAAACAGAGAAAGGTAGGGCTGTGAAGCAGAAGACAAATGCTGTGCTGGTTTTAAATGAGTGTCTGTAAACCCCACTGACCTGTGAGTAATTACCTCCAAAAAAATTGGCAGCTATGTGTTTCTCAGCGTGAAGACTTGTTTCTTCTGAATCCACAGGGCAAACAGTTCATTATGGTCCAGAGATGTATCACCAGAGCAAAATGACTTTGAATCTCTCCTGTAGCTGCCCTTAGTCTGGTTTGTCTACTAGCACGGACTCTTCAGCAAGGGTTTGTCAAAGGGTTTCACACACTTTGAGCATTAAATAAAAATAATACAGAGCACTTCCTGGTAAAGGTAGTTTATTTTATGTAGCTTGCCTGAACATAAGTTCCCATAGCTTTATAGTCTGTCTGACTGGAAGATAAATTGTCAAATCTTATTTGATGAATCAGAACAGTGTTGGACTTTGAGGGAAAAAGAGCTGCTGGGTAATCTCACCGTCTTCTCGGATCAGTGTGGTGGGTTTCCCTGGAGTGGGTTCTCTAGGACCATTCAGCTAATTCAGCCGTGCTTGCCTTGGCTATTTTTGGTTTATATTTTACATGTCATATTTGCCAACAGAAAATATTTATACTCTTGTATTACTTTTGCTCTATATCTGTATTTTGTCTTCTGTGAAATACGTGCCAGCTCTGTGGGTGCTGTGAAACAACATTACTCTTTGGGAGACTGCTGCATGGTGTGAGAGATCCTGCTGTCCAGGATGTTTCTTCCCATCTGTTCTTGGCTCAAATCCTCTTCTCTGCAATTTTAGTCACTGTTTTTGGTTACCATTCATAGATTGAAATGAGATATTAAGGAAAGAGATACAAGTATGCCATGCTGCCTTCTCTTTCCTCTGCTCTGTCAACTGGGTGGCAGTAACAAAAGGCAATTAGTAATACAAATAAGTTTTCCTGTGGGGTAGTTGAGAGCAGTCTTTCTCTGAAACTGTTTATGAAATAAATTGAAAAACACGTTTCCCTCTTTCCTAAAAGGAGTAACAGCCCAGGTATGCAGAGGGCTAGCACACCAGCCTGCCACCTCTTCAGCATTAAGTTCTTATTTTGTATCACCTCTGGAAACTCAGGTTAGGGAAGGAGGCAGAAAACAGAAATCAGAGCAGGAGTTTTGTTTTCTGCTGGTGCAAGGGACTTGTTTAAAGCCTCCTGCACTTCCCAAGCAAGAAGATAAATTAAATTGCGATTTGCCCCCAGGCAGCAGTGGAGGGCTTTTCCTGCTCTCTGCCTTGTAACTCTGTTGCAGCTGTCATGCAGTCAAACCCCCTGCTTCAAAGTCTCCCTTTTTCCCTTCCCACTGTTGTTCTTTTTCCTGTGGAAAGGAGCTATGTACCTGAAACACACCTGTGTTTTCTGTCCTCCAGAGTTAATGAGCTCTACGTGGATGACCCAGACAAAGACAGTGGAGGTAAAATAGAAGTGAATCTGAACATCAGTTTGCCAAACCTGCATTGTGAATGTGAGTACCCCTTTTCACTTACGGTTTTTCTTTGTCCTTTAAGTAATATTTGAAATAGGCCCAACCTAGTACAGTGGCCCTTCTTCTGTAACAGGGTGGATGGAGATCAAGTAGCTGCAGCCTTTGCCAATACCCCATCGCTTTCTGTTACAGGGCAGGACACCTGTTTTCTTGGACCCTGTGCTCACTCTGCAGCCGGTGTTAGTGGCTGACATCCCTCGATGGTTTCTTTCTAAGTCTTGTTTCCTTTTTCATAGCAACCTTTTTGTGTCTGGGAGCAAGAAACCTGCCAAGTTTCTTTTGTAACTCTGAATGCACCAGCTAGTTGTTGGCTTTTCACAAATCACCTGCCTTGTCCACCTGAAGTTCTTCTGTTTGTGTAATTGAGAGGGCAGTCAGGTGGCAGGATATGAGAAGTCAAATAGGCGGTCTGAAAAATTTGGTTATGAAGTTCTTTCTGAAGAGCTGGTATAACAATTGGTATTTGACAAATGACATATTAGCACAGTTTAGTCAAATGTCAGTGAAAAAGGTGTGGATTTTCTCCCCATAAAAGCAGTGCATGCTTTTCCTGTGCAACCTTCCTGTTATTTCTTTTGTTTTGATTTTTGTCTCCTCCTCTCCCACCCATGCAGTAGTTGGACTAGACATCCAAGATGAAATGGGAAGGCACGAAGTGGGTCATATTGACAACTCGATGAAGATACCTCTCAATAATGGGGATGGCTGCAGGTTTGAGGGCCATTTCAGTATCAACAAGGTAAGTAGAAATAACAGTGGATGCATGTGTGCTGGCTGGGGAAATGTTAACAAGATCCATTTGTAAAATGCTTATGAAAATCTGTGTGTGTCGGTGTCTCTCCTGTAGAGTGTACATTCATGTCCCTAATCAGTGGTAAGGTTAAGTCTCTCAGTGCTGCAGAACAGTGCGGGGAGAGGAGGCTGTGTAGTTAAACTCACAGAGGATGTGTTAGAAGAGGCTTTTTGTTACCATTCTCCAAAACAGGTAATCGAGGTAGCATTGCTTAACAGCAGAGAGCAGCTCTGTGTTGCATCCAGTGCTGTTTCTTTCAGCGCAGCAGCCTAATGTTTAGGGGATGTATGAACTCCCTACAAGTGCCAAATGGCTTCTGTGTTTACTCGTCAGGACTTTTGCACCTCCAAAATGTGATTCACTGTGCAGAGGTCTTTGGCAATGTCTCTGTCCAAGCGCTCTTTTGTTCCGAGAGCCGCAGAATGACAGGAATGTTTCCTACTAGAGGGTGCCAGCGTAACAGAAGCGGTTCCATGCTGAGACGTTTGGAATACATGCACGCGGCCTCTGCGCATGCTTTGTTGGGATGCTCTGCTTCTGTCTCAGAGAATGAAAATCTGGGCCTGGAGGAGGCTCCTCTCTGGGATGGGTGTGTTCAGAATTGAATAATCTTGCTATGTAATGCTGGAGATGACTAGCTGGGGTGGGGGAGGCAGTGGTGGGGCCCACGGATGTCCTCAGAAGGGCACACCCTTTATTCACGCCTCTTCATGTACCACAGGCTACAAAATCCTACTTCCTTCTTTTCCTCCCAGGTCATGTTAAATCGCATCTAAAAATAACAGGCAGAACCTCTTACTGATTCGGTGGCATGGAAAGGATTAGGGACTTAAAAAGAGGACGTTTCTTTCCTCACCTCTAAGCCACCAAGCTTACTGGCAGCTGATAGCCCACAAAACTGGGAAAGGGCTTCTTGAAAGGTAGTTCTTGTTCTGCTGATTCCCAAAGCACAGAGCTGAAATACTTGGGGTTTTGTCCGCTCGATGTGGTGTGTTCTGCTCACCACAGCAACTCAAAAGGGGGTTTCTGTATGTGGCAGTGAGGAGCTCCTTTTGCTGCTTCATCTGTGGAAGACCATTAATTGCATTGTCTCATGCAGTGGTTGGGACTACTGTCAGAGGGAGGGGACCTGACCCAGGACTTCTGGCTCTGAAAACCTGAACGTCTCGTATCTGAGCTGGAAGTCAGTCCCTTGGCAGAAATTGCACAGGCTTCTGTATGAGCTGGTATTTAGAGTGGGACAAGGCTAAGCTTTGAAACTTGACTGAGGGTTGCACTTGGGTGTTCTCAAACCTGAAGAGGGAGGACAAGGTGCGATGATTGTGTGTACTGTTTACTGCAGAGTCTGTCACCCTGTTTACCGAGCTTGTGTATGACACAGCTTATGTCCACACCTGAAAGTGTTCCCTCACTGCTGCTCCTCAAGTCATTTAAATTACCTTTCCTGAAAGCACATGGAACCAGCATGTGGCCTCCGGTGGCCCTGCTGGTGAGATGCCTCTGAAGAGACAATGGGGACCAGTTATATAACCATCCTCCCACTCTTGTCTTAGGCCATGTCAGATTGCTCTTCAGTGTTGCTTCATTTCCCAACCTTTTCTTGCCAGGGAAAAATTCTTACACGCTCCATAACAGTGATTGAGCTGAATCTGCTGAAAGACTTCACAGACGAGAGCTAGTGACCTGAAAAGTATGTGCATGCTAGAGTGATCCCGTCAGAATGACACCAGTGCTCATTTTCTGTCTTGAAATTGAGTCCTTAGGTGAAATTTTAATTTTTCATAACTTTCTATTTCCCTCAGTTTAAAAAATTAAAAGCAGAAAATCCTGTACTTGGAAGGGCTATTGCCAGGGCTAGAAGCTGAAGATCGAGCTTAGTTTGCATGGGAAGCCCCACTGGTTTTGGTGGGGTTTTTTTCTCTTTCTATGTAAAACTCATTCTTATGCACAATCTTCTCAAATGTAAGGTTGCTCATGACCAGTACTACATTAAGAATATATCCACAGCTTTCTTGGGTTGTTCTGCAGCAGTGGTCCCATTTTCAAATATGAGATGTGGGAGTAAAACATTAAGCAACTGTTTGCTGCCTGTCAGAGACATGAATCTTATTTTAATACGGATGAAAGACATAGCCTTAAGTGTTAGGAATCCCTAAAGTTGGGAGTGATCCACTCATCACCTCCTAGTCAGCAGCAGTAGCAACGTGAGGGTGCCAGACTCCGGGGCTGTGGTGTGTAACCGATCTCTGCTCTGTATGCAGTATCGTGGTGTTGGTCAAGTGCAGGACGGTATTTCAAAGCCTTTCTCTGATGTGCCAGAGGTTGTCCGCTGCTAAGTAGATAGAGTCTGCCAGGCTGGATGGATCCAGGTATTTCTGCTTCATATCGCAGAGCCTAGCAATGCCTTGAGGGATAAAACATGAAATCCTGTCTTCCTTGTCTTGACTAATTTTAGGTCCCTGGTAACTTTCACGTGTCAACACACAGTGCCACTGCGCAGCCTCAGAATCCTGACATGACTCATGTCATCCACAAGCTCTCATTTGGGGACAAGTTACAGGTGAGTTCTTTTCCCTGGGTCTAGCGGAAGGAATGCAATGAGAGTGACTTTAATATTAGACCCTTTGGTTTTATGGAAGGGCCATGTGCAGTGTTGGGAGAACATAAGACTGCCTGGGTAAGCAAGCCCATCCCTTGCATTCATGCAGTGTACACTCAGTCCAGAGGAGTTCATAAGCTGTTTACATGCCACCACTTCAGGAAGGAGCAGCGTTCAGTCATAGAGTAACTTTGCTGTTTTCATCTGAAACTGAAAGTGCTTTTGGAAAACTATGTGGCCATCTTCCTGCAGAGAGTAGAAATGAGGATTCATGGCTTTGCAAAATCCGGTGCAGTACTGTTTTCAGAATTAATACAGAAAACAAATATTGACTGTCTTTGCAGAGGAGCAGTGAGTGTCCTAAGGGAGAATGTGTGCTCGCTACTGTCTTTACCATGGCACCAGTCAAGTTATTTTTAATTCACTTCACTGTACTTGTACAGCAGACATCTATTAGTCAAATTTGTTCTATGAAACACAAGTTAGACTTAGAACTGCCAGTTCCCTGCTGGGAAGAAGCTGAATGTGTGCATTTGCCCTGTGGATAGAGTTTCACCAGGTGTTGCAGGTTATGTAATAATTCCCAATTTCTCAATAAGGACAGATTACAGCACTTCTCTAGCCTACTTCCAAGGAGCTAGCATCATAGGTGGGAGTTATATATGTGCACACCCAGTTTGCGACTCACCCTAAACATTGCTTACCTGTAGTCTCTCTGTAATCTTCTTTCTTCAGCACAGACACCTCATTAGTCTGCTGCTTGTACACCCACTTCCAAAACCCTTTTTCATGCTAACAAGTCTAAGCGTTCCTTTGTAGTCTTCTGATTCTGCTCCTGGCTTTTTTTAGGAAATATCTTGTGTGGGAACGCTCAAGTATTAGCATATAAATAAGCTTGGCTTAATGTCTGTAAAGCACACTGAGATTATGAAAAATATTAGGTAAGCGCTAATAGGGAGTTCTGCAGTTTGCGTGGGAAATCAGTGCTCTAAGGTAGCGTTCCCATTGTTGTGTCATGGAGTCTGAGTAATGGAGCTGAAGTGCGAATCAGCATGAATGAGCTGAGAAGCCTGGACAGTTGGGGGCAAAGGAGCAAGCATCTTCAGTTCTGGTGAGAAACCTGTCTAGCAAACATGTAGTTGGCTCTGGATTTGGACAAGTTCTGATTAGTATTTTCAAAGTTCAAAATAACTATTCATCGTCTCCGTACACATGAATGGAGCATGTAGGTGCTGCTGATCCTGTAGGCAAACATGAGTTCAACAGCACAAATTAAAGAAGGTTGTGTTAACTAAGCAGGTGCTACCAAGACTCAGCAAGCAGTGTAGCGAGCCAGCAAGTACGGAGAGCTTTAAATCTATCTAGTTACACCTTTGAATATTTTAGGTTGTCTCCGCCAGCTTTGATGTAATATATGCTCATATTTCTTAAACAGGGTGAGGAGCTTCTCATTCGCTTGTGTCATGTGCTGGGAGTTAGTTCTTTGTAGGTTGTTACCAGCTCTGCCAGAATGATCAACTAAGGTACATGCTGTGTTCTCCAGAAAAACCAGTCTGTTTGAAATAGAGATTTAAATCTCGCCCAACATTGAATGAGCTTCAGTGCTTCAACAGTAGTTCATGCACAGTAGTGGCAGACTTTTTGTAGATTTTTCTTCCCTCACATAGATGAGACCAAAATTAAGACCAATTAGGTTCTCGCATGTCAGGTAACCCAGTATAGAAATAGATGTGGAAAGCAGGAGACTATACGTTTTTAATCATAGAATTCTCTTGAGTGCTAGATCATGGTGTTGAATAATCCTAGTTTTATCCTTGTGAGAGGTCTTGTCTTTTCTCTATGGCTGCAAGGTTGGAAGTTACTTTAACCTGGGGCTGGACTCTGCCTGAGTTGTCCAGTTATGTCTTTGCATATGTTTGTATAGAAGTTAAAGGCCCTGGAAAGCATCTTTTTGAGGTCCATGTTGTCTGACAATAAAGTGTTGGCAGTGTTAAACCACTGACTAGCCTCCTGTACCACTACTCCAGGCACTAAATTTGGCCTTGCTAGTACAGGACAGTCCTGAGAACGTCTGGCTAAATAGGCTTGCTTAGGTTCTCTGCTGCAAAGCAGTTCTGTTACTGTGGCCAAAAGCTTACTCCTTGTTGGAGTCCCTCCAGGTACTTAACAAGGTACAAACAAGTATGTTCCCTCAAGGAACACGCCTGTGCACTTTGTAGAGCAGAGATTAATTAGCAATCTACGGACAGCAAATATTGTAATGGGATTCCAGAATATTCCACAAGGAAAATCATAGTAGATCATCAGACCGGGAGTGATAAATGCCATCTGAGTTGCAAAGAGAAGAGAAGCAAATGTACCAAAGGAGCTGGTGGCACAGAAGCAGGCAGTTGTGGAGATGTTGGGTGGCTTTGTCTGTGTGGAAGCCCTGTAACTCACAGCTTTGCAAACTCAGTGTGTAGAGAGATGCAGAGCAGACAACTTTTACATATAAACAGAGGTGTGGATGCTGGGGAACCAAGGACAGGAACTCAAGTCCAAATATCCAAGTACCTCACAGGGTAGATACAGTTGTTTGCTGAGTAACCACTCAAATATTTACTGTTAGAGTGTTTGAAGTGGACCTGAAAGTCTCTGCCTCAGCTGTGCTATAAGGGACTTACGTCTCAGCTGTATCAAGAATGAAACATAATACTGGAGCCCAGTCCAGGGGCTTCTCTTTCTTCATATGCTTTTTACAACGAGAAAAGAATATGTACAGTCTGGATGTGTAGTTTGGAAATGGTTACTGTTGTGTAAAATATATGAAATGCTGGCAGACCGAAAGGCACTGCGGGAGGTTCAGCTGTTGCTTTTGCTCTGTGCTTGTTACCAGCACCTTGCCAGCTGAACTTAGTGATGATTTTGTCTCTCTAGAATTTAATTTCTCAGGAGAGAAACGGCTTCGGTTGCTTCTTCCTCCAAACCATCGTCCACTCCAGAGCATTCAGAACAGGGAAGCAGCCACTAGGATGAGGCAAATATATCCACGTCCGATCAGTTGTTGAGAGGGTCTGGGAAGGAGATTGCGTTACCCTGTTAGTGAGGTGAAACTCCGTCACACCCATGACCAAATACTTCTTCCAAACTCTTCTTCCCTGTTGTCTGGCTAAGGTTAGGAGTTTCTAGGTTGTGGGGTTATTTGTCCTTTCTGTATAGCTTACTGTACATTATGGAAGTGATGCAACCTCTAACCTACAGCTGCTGCTGTGGGGTTTTCCCTGTCTGGAGAGTTGACAAATTGATTATTCTGTTGATGCACATCAGACTCCAGATCATAGTATGTGGAAGGCATGGGATGGAAATCCTGTTATTCTGGGCAAACAGATACTTGCATGCCTGGGACCAGCTGCAGGAAAAGCTGAATGGATGGCAGTGCTGGCACGTGTCCTTCCCATCTCCAAGGGCATATGTGTGGTGTGAAAGCTGGGCTGATGAGTTAAAGCTGTACAAGCCCAACTGTTCCGACATGAGCTCCCTTTACAGGAGAACTCTTGAGTTTTAACCTGAATATGACTCCCATTTCTTTCCCTTTTCGCCTGATAAATCAATTTTGCAGTTAACTAGGCAAAGCTCTTAGGAAATATCTCACAATGACATTTCACAACTGCCCTCTTCCAACTGCAATTCCTTTAGCTTTGGAGTGGTTTTGGAGTTTCATCTTGTAAGACGTTGTGAAATCAAGTTTTTTACTTGGAACCAACCTCTGTGGTGATGGTCAGTGAAAGATATTTCAAGTCATCTTTTACTGGGTTGAGGCTTTGTTTTCGGAAAGGTTGAATCAGGCTGATCTCCTTGTTACAGGATAGCACAGGGAAGCAAAGGTCAAGGCTACCAAGTCAGAGCATAATTTGTTCGTACGCCTTTTTGCTTTCCAGGTCCATAACGTTCATGGAGCATTCAATGCCTTGGAGGGAGCAGACAAACTCAGCTCAAATCGTACGTATTCTTGATGATTACAGGTCTTGGACACACTCTGCGGGAGGGGAGACTGAGCCATTCATGCAACGCTTGGGTATTCAGAAGTCTTTAATCTGCCTCTGTAACCAAAATGTTCCAGAAATTGCTGACTGACATTTCCATTTTCTCCAGTACCATAGAGAAGTCTCAGCCCAAAAGGTCCTTTGCAGCCCTTCTGCAACCTGGACATTGTCTTCAGCTCTGTTACGACCAACTCAGATTTAGAGTTTTTTATCCATATCCTATTCCTATAGCTTCCTTTTGCAGCTGTCACCACCACCAGAACTTCTCCTTGTTCTTGTGTTGCAAGTTAGCTCTTGCCAGGGTAGCAAGTTGCAAGTTAGTTCTACCCTGTGGCTGGAAGAATAGACATTTTCATTGCCTCTCTTTGTGACCAGCAACACAAAAATAAATTTCCAATGCGTGCTACGATTCAGCCTAGTTTTTCTCCTTCAAGTGTTCAGTCTTCTGGAGGATATCAGCCTTGTCCGCTTTTTGGGACAAAATTTCTGTGGCTGTTCCTGAAGTTAGACAATTGTGTGCTTTTTCTTTTTCTCTAGGAGCTAAATGTCATTGTGTTACCCTTGCCCAAAGGATCCTGCAAAGAAATCATTTAGAATTCTGTTTTAGAACTGTTTCAGCAGACACAAAAAATGGCACAAGCCATTTAAATAATGAAAAAAATGAATTAATGATTGTTAAGCAGCTGTAGGAGAAAGAAGAGAAAGAAAGGAAGGTGGGTGCACAAGGAATGGGACTACACAGGTTGTGATGACTCAGCTTCAAAAGAAGCTCTAACTTTAGCTAGTTCTTGATTTAACCAGGACAGCTTTTTGTGGCACTGATAAGTCTTAGCATTTATAGCTGCAAGCAGTTAGGAAAGTTCAAGTGATCTAAACTCATCTCTGTGTGTCGTGGTGCTACAGAAGTCTTAGAATGGTGGGCAGGTTTTGGTGTCATCTAAGTACCTTAAAAAGTTTGTACAAAGGACATAAATGTAGGATGGGAAATGGTCACTTTGTCACAGAACCTGCGATAAGGAGGAGGGAGATACCTTTTCTGTGACTTACTTGTTTAGTTGATTTTGCACATTTACTTTGAAATCTTGTGTAGGCTGTGATTCATTTTTCTGAATGCTACTTATACTTTCCTTTCCTTTCCTGACTGCAGCTCTCGCATCTCATGATTACATATTGAAGATAGTCCCGACAGTGTACGAAGACATGAGCGGCAAGCAGCGATACTCATACCAATATACTGTAGCAAATAAGGTAAAGAAGCAGGTAGTTCTCAGAGAAGCTCCCCATTGCAGCCCAGTGGATGCATGGAGGATCTTCAGCCGTCATTCCTCCTCCCTCTTGCTCCTCTGCTCCGCAGCCGTGTACATTTGTTTGTAGGTGAGCAGTAGCCTCTGCTGGGAGAAGAAGGAACTGAAGCTTTTCAGAGTGGGTCTTCCTGTTGCTCCTAGTGCTGGCATTTAGCAGGGTTGGGATTGTGAGGGCTTGTCAGAGGAGGTAGTGGTATTGTTTTAATTCTAGAGAAAGGTATTCTTGCTCCTTTCTCATACTTCAACTTAACTGATCTAGATTTCTATAAATTGTGTGGGAGGTTTTTACATGCTGCAGGAGCTCTTGTGTCAAGATGCATCTGGACAGAAACTGCAGTCCAACTGGACATACAAAACAGCACTTACACATGATTTTATTAATAAAACAATGTCAATCGTGATGGATGTGTCAGACAAATAAGTCAGCACGGTCTTCAGCTTTTTACAAATGTTGATTTCTGATATTAATCCACGGAACTTGCAGCAGCAAATATGTCCTGGTTGACTACTTCACAGTGCCTACTTTATTGTACTGGATTATGATAGTTATCGTAACTGTATAATTCTTAAATTAATTTACATAAAATGTGAAAATATTTGTATTTTAATAATACAATGTATGGAACCTTAAAAAGAAAAAAGGCCCTTTTTACTTTTTAAGGTAAAAAGTCTCTTTCAATTTAAAATGATTTGCCAGCCAGGTGCCAAGTGAAAGTCCAGAATCCATTTATAATATCTAATTACTGTTAGTTTGCCGTAACTGATCATCAAGCACGCGCTCTCATGGACAAATAGATTAACGTTCCTGTCTAGGGCTTGCTTGTACAGTGTGTCCCAATGATTCGGATGTCTCCCTCTATTCAGATTACAATGTATTTGTTCTGCTTAATGTCACAACTGTTTTTCTGATAAGACTTGCGACGCAAGTTCTGAAAGTAATTTGGAAAATAGGCAGCAGGAGCTTTTGACACTTCTGTGAGCACGGTTGCAAATGGGGGCGGTCGGCCAAGACTGACTCATTAGGGCAGGATCGCTGGTGGGGAAAAAGGGAGAGGAAGGAAAAAATGAGGTCAGTTCTATCAAAACTGACGTGCAGAGAAACAGTGCTGCCTCTGCGTTTTCTTCTCATTAAAAACAAATATTCTCTTATCAGTGCTTTAGTCCTTGACTCCCATACTGATCGGTGGGAAACAGAAATCGGAAGCCATTGGAATAGTCTGGCACAGATTGACTAGTATGAAGAAACGAATAGAGTCTTAAGTGTGGACTGTCTGTCTCCTCTCCCCTTTTGCCTCCTAGATCTATTTCCTCACTTCCCTAGATTGCCACTGTCCCAAGATACGCTGCAGAACGTCTGCAATAAAAGCCCTGAAAATATTATGACTAGGGATTTCAGTCACATTCTGCTTCTCTTGTCGTCCATGGAAAAAAACCTCAATGGAGGGAAATTTGGGATTTATATGAGATTAATGAAGGGGACGGATGCTGTTTCACTAGCTCCCTCTGAGCTTGCAAAGAGTAAAATGATATTTTTTGTGTCATGCTCATGGGTGTCCTATTGCTTGCCTTTCTTCATCTTTCTGAAGTATGAGAGGTTGTTTTTTCCTCAGTGTGAAGGAGAATGAAAACAGAAGAGGTCGTCTGAGTTGGCAGGCATGTCGTAGGGCTAAAGAAGGGAAGAGAGCTGGTGAAGAGGCAGCCTGTGCCATGCTGGTGCTGATGGCTCTCATGAGATTGCTGAGTCCCCAGCCTGCTTTTCTTTGATTTTTCTTCAGTCTGTCAAGATAAATGTCCTGGTCTTTGAAACTTGATATGTATTTCCACTGAGAGCACTGACAAAATATTAACTTAAAAAGATGTGACTTTTGATACTACGTTGATGTTAGTATCTGTTCGGTGGCTGATTGATTGCCCTGTACCTGTTATTAAAGAAATGCATTAAAGGAGATTATCATGGGCAGTCTGAAGATGTCTCTCCCAAACAGACTTGGAATATTTTTGAACCTTTGCCAATAATTTTCCATATACGGTTTCATTTTGGCTTTCAGCATGATTTTTAAACATGGTTTAAACATGGCTCTACGTGATTCATACTGAGTGGGCAAAGCATTCACATTGTTGGTCCCCATGCGAAGGGGGCCTCACAGACAGGAGCTGCTGCTTGCTATTCTGAGTGCGTGGACAAGAAGGGATTTTCAGGTTCTTGCAACCTAATTCTGTTTGGTTTAATAATATCCCAGTATATGACTTACATACTGACAGTACAAAAACTTCACCTGCAACCACTTGGAGACTGCTTGTAGTTGTATAGAGCAGATCAATGACAGCCTTTCTACTTGCTTCTGTAACTTGGAATAAAGGTGAGAGTAAGCACCATCACTCTCTGTTCCCAGCTGATCATTATCAGACTGTAAAAAACTTATTTTCCTATTTGATGAGGATGGGGGGTGGGCAGTCAGACAGGAATTAACTGTTTGCTTTTTTCAGTCTGATCATTAGTACAGAACAGTGGAGTAAGGGCCAGATCCACACAAGTAGTTTTATTGCAGACACTCTATCTGGAAGATTGCTCACATTTCCTGCTGTTTTTCTGCCACTTTCTTTTCTAGGAGTATGTAGCCTACAGTCACACTGGCCGCATTATCCCAGCTATCTGGTTTCGTTACGATTTGAGCCCCATCACAGTGAAATACACAGAGAAGCGACAGCCTTTGTACAGGTTTATCACATCGGTGAGTTACTCTAAACCTCTAATTCTCCCTTCTGCCTGCCTTTCATTTCTCTTCTGAGACTTTCTTGTCCAGAAGAATTGAGTTTCTGCTTCAGGGCATTGTGACATGATTAAAATAAAGCAGTACATCGCTGCAATTGTATTGAAGTGTGAGGTAACCGGTAAGTCCTATGCTCCGACAACTTGATTTAACAGCTAGGCACAAGAGGAAAGAAAATTATCCTGTTTGAGAAGTACTAAACTCTGTCTAGGCAGGCTGGACACTATTGCAGTATATCAGAAACTTGGAAGTAAAGCTAACGTGGTATGCAGTAAAGCATTCTGCAATAAACCATCTCGAATGATGAGATCTAACTTGCACAGAATGCAGGGCAGTTCTTTTACTCAGTGCTGGTGCTTTGCTTAATATGGGTATGCCAGTTCCAGGCGTTTACTCCTGGGTAGAAGTGCAAAAGAGCTGCATTATCAATTCCAGAGGTGTTTTCCTGACGAGTAATGTTTTCATCTCTCCAGGTAACATCCTGCAGTACTGATCTTGGCATTTGTAACAAAGCTGTACTGTCCAAGCTGCTAGTTAGGCAAAGAGCTATTTAAAGATCTTCCAAAACTTGAAAAAATGTGTCCTGAGGGAGCTTGCTTAAAGTTTAAACTGCGGTCTGCTGTGCCAGTGAGGCATGGTAGAATGTCATGTAGTTGATAAATTGGCTGGAATGAAGACCTCAGATTTTGATTTTTAAACTGTTTTAATGTTTTAATTGGAAGAACATAAACCCTGTGGCTGTGTTGCACTTAAAGATTTTGATTTTGCAGCTTCTGATAAACACCAAGTTCCCTTCACTTAACTTCAAAAATGCATGTGATCTCTAGGATACACAAATACCAAGAGAAAGGGCCTTGAAGCAAATCTAAATGTCGTGGTTTAAGACCTTCTCTTCTTAGTGTGCCTGTTTGGTTTCAAAACATAATCCTAAAAAAGGTTAAACGTCAGCATTTTATGACTTGGTGTCTCATACCACTTCTACTTATTTTCCTAACAAATGCTCTCATAGGTTTCTTACGTATCTTGTTGGGGGTGAGGGTGTGGAGGTGTTTTTAATGGGAAACAGTGTTTGGAAATTATTGACAGCTGGCATTATTCTTTGTCATGTCTGTTCCTAGTGTTGATTTACTGCTGATATGCCACTGTATGCATATAAATAGCATCTTTGTTGAATTTGATACTGTGCTTCAGCGTTTATGTAAGGAGTCCACAGGAGAGGCTTTTCTCACTGATTGCCACATTGACCTTTTGGATTTGAGATGGCCCAAGGTAGAATTTTGCCCCATCCTGTCTGTAAAGTTATCCAGGCACGTGCTGGCTGCTAGACTGCTGAAGAAGAATTTTACAATTGATTTTTGTCTACTTAGTTTGGTCTTAAAAATGCCTGTAATCTCAGACAGCTCACTTGGGGCCATTCCAATTGAATGTCCTTCCTACGGAGACTTGGGTGGCACCGGTATCTGCAGTAGCTGTTACCCAGTACCTCAGACAGGTGTGCCATGCCCTTTTCAGACTTGCCTGACTTAGAGGCAGATCCCTGTTACAGATGCTGTACCGTGGCTCTTGGTCTGGACCATCTGGCCCAGGTACAGCTGACCCGCTCTGCCTCTCATTGAGGCTAGGTTTTACAGTAGGGCAGCCTTGGCTGTGTGTGTGCTACGCTTAAAGCTTTACAGCGTTCAAGCTAGCATTTAAAAGGTTGGATAGGGGGGAGCAGTGCTGCAGAGGATCAAAATGCCTTTTCTCCTAGGTTTTCTTGCCGTGGTTTGATTAAATGATCTGTTCCGTTGTCCTTTCCACTGCTTTTAGCTCCTTCCTGTATCTCCAGCGTGGCCTTTTGCATCACAGTTGCTCTGGAGACCAGTTAGTGATAATCAGTACTGGGCTGAGGTCCAAACAAGGGTTGTACTGGGGCATCTGGAGTTGTTGACAAATGGGGCTGGCCATGGAAAGCATCAGCTTTTTCTGAGCAGCAGCTGCTTAATTTAAAACCTTAAGAGGGGCTCTAGGGTAGGGAGGATCACCTGTGACTCCTTTTAGTGAGCAGATTGTTCACTAGGGCACCTGTGTGGCTTTCAGTAAATTTAAATGTGTCCTAGGCATGGGGGAGGATTCTGTGGGCTTGAAAGAGACTTTATCAGAGTTAGAGATGTAACAGTGTGTGTGGCTAAGTGTGGCTGCCTGTTAGGGGAAGCGGTGTCTGTGCTGGGGGGAAGGATACACTGCAGAGGAGCGATCCCCTGTGGAGTGATCAGATGAGAGAGGGATGTTGAATGTTCAGGAGAGAGCCAAAGGGGTCTCATTCTGCTGCTGGGAAGGTTATCTGATGCTTTTTGCTAGTAATGAATTTGCCCCCAAAAAACTTCAGTGCCGCTAAGAGCAGCATTATGGCACCACAGCAGTGTTCCCAGTTCTGCTGTGTTCCCAGTGGACCCACTGTAAGTCATGCCAGCTCCTTGGGGTTTTGTGGTATGAAGAACTATCCTAGTTTTCGGCACCATGTGAGAGGTGCTTTCTATGCAGGACAAAAGGCACTGGTTTAGCATAGATTTTACTTTGCATGTCACACTTCCAAAATTCAGTACTCAGATTTTGTATTGCTTGTGGTCATTGCTGCCACTGTCACTGTGCTGTGAATTTGCCGTGGATCCTGGAATTAACCACAGACACCTGGCACAGTGTTAAACACAGTAGGTTTTGCCTGTTAAACCGTACTGCTTAAAATCAAGGCTTCTCCCCATAAAGAGAAGCCATTCATGGCCTCATGGTTGAGGTTATGGAGCAAAGGGAAGTTTCACTGCTGAAAATTTATGAGTGCTTCTAAGTGGCCAAACTGAAAGAAGGTTTTATCATTAGGTCAGCCCAGGGGCTGGGAGGGGAGACCAGGGAGAAAACAAGCCAAAGGTCTGGAGAAGCACTCAAAATTCAAAAAAAATAATATAGTTTTTCTTCCTGATACGAGAGGACTTGTCTGCCCTCTAGGTGTAGAAAAAATTAAACTGGAAATAATGGGAGGGGAAGTGGTTGCAGGGAGTTATTTCAGCCATGGGACCTGTTACCAACAAGTATCATAGACTCGGTCCCGTGGCGTTTTTAAAACCAAGTCAGTGTTGCTCTACAAGATGTGCTGCAGGTCAGCCACAAATCTCTGGGTAGGATTCTGACGCTTACCTTACTAGGAATTTCCTGGGTGCCAGGCTGGTCCCCTCTGTCCTTAAAAGTAATTTTCAGGTTTTAAGACATCCCAGAGGTCCACAGTCACCTATCTGACACTTGCCTTTCTGTCATTTTCCTCGCAGCCTTGCCTCCTCCTACATATCCACTTGTGTTTTCCGTTAGACTTCAGCCTGCGTCCCAGCCACTACCCCATAATCATATTCTGTTCAAAACCCTCATGTGTACCCCACATTGCATGGTCTCTCACTGCCGTAATCATTACACTTCTGTATTTCTTTTCCTTCCTCCTTTAATGGTTGGGCCTGAGACAGACTCTAACCTCATGGAGCCAAACGCAGATCATTTCCAGTATAAAACTGTATTAAATATAAGTGCATGATGCCTAACTTCTTTCTGTGCTACTAAGGAGCAATACTCCGTACATATTAGAACTGTGATGATAAGGAAACGCAATGGTGCAGCTTCTGTGCTGACCTAGAGACCAGTCCTGCTGCTGCCTTTTTTTGTCGCAATGGAACAAGAGGGCTGTGTGCGTGCTGGGAGGCAGGCTCCAAGCGAATGCCAGGTGTGTGTGACTCATAAACACTCAGCAGTACAGAGCTGTGCAGATGAATGTATTTTTTTTTCTATTCCCCACCCTCTTGCACTGCTTCACTGAAATCAGATTTTCCTACCATATGATGCAAAATCTTAATGTTGGACGGTTTTTCTGTTGTTTGCGGTATAACATCTCCTGTCAGCTGAGCTGCTGTGGACTGAAATAACCCAACTCCATTGCGGTCATTTTCCCTGAAAAGTCACCCTGCGTCATGCTCTGAGGGACAGCAAGGAGGGGGGCACAAAGGGCAGGAGCTGGACTTGACCCTTAAAAATACTAACTTTGCCTCAGGCTGGTGCTCTGCTTTCCGAAGCCTTTATCTGCTGGAATGCCAGCTGTCCTGCAAAAGCCATGTTTGCTGCAGCTCCTCATTTCACTGAGCTCACTAAACACAAATATCCCAGTTATAAATACGCATGTAAATGAGTGCTTTATTTCTTGCTGCCTTCGCTCACCGTTAATGAACTGTTTGTTCTGTTGCCACTACTAACTAACTCCCCACTGAACCAAACGCTGCTGCTCTTTGTCTGCAACTTTGCCCATGGGGTGTAGTGCTGTGTGGGAGAGGAGACAGGGCAAGGTAGGGCTGGTGTGGCACCGGTCCCCTTCTGTGTTGGCTGGGTTGTGTTTCACTGATACCCTGCTACATCGGCTTACTGATTTGGGGTTCGTCTCTCTCTCTCTCAGCTTCCAGCTCACAGCAAAATCCTCCTTTTCTTAGGCAGGCCCTTCTCAGGAGAGAAGCTCTGTATCTTGTCCCCTTCTCACTGACCTGGTGTCTCATTCTCAGAGCCACCTAAATCTACACAATGTAAAAGACCAAATTAACAGAGCATCACAGTTATGAAGTCAAAAATGTGGGAGCTGGGAAATGCCAGGTCCTGTGTAATTGTAACTTGGCTGTTAAACGTTATTAGGTTACATTATTGTGTATCATGCTTTCCATGTGAACCTTGCTTTGTTTTGCGCACAGGGTTGGGTGGCACCTTGTGAGCAGCGTTTCTGTTTCTTCCCCTTCTACGGCCTTGTTAGTATCAGGTCGTTTGTATTAACCCAGTCCTGAGTACAAGTCTCATGTTTTCACAAGGACTCTGCGACAGCTGTTGTCATGGTATTGAACCCTTCACACGTGTTTTCCTTTGCAGTTTCCCTGAGGGGCAAGTTTGGCATTGTCCCTATTTCATAGATAAGGGAATTGAAGCAATGTGTTGCAAAGTCCGTAACTGGTGCCCCCTGATTCTGGGTGCTCCAAGCCAAGGTACCTGTGGTTTGACATGTCAGAATACTTCTGTGGTTTTCTAGCACTTGAAAACTGAAATAAGCTGTTACGCTAATCAGGAGATTAACATTTTCCCTAATTCTGTTCTTGAAAATGATTATGTGTTTTTACTGATGTTTAAGTAATTCTAGCCAAGACATCTTGCATGGAAAACTTTGGCCCACAAAGAGTTAAGTTGGCAGTGCTTTTGTAAGCAGCCTGTGTAATGGAAAGTGTTAGACAGACTTAGCTGTAGGTGTCACTGGTAGCTAGGTTTCTCTGTTAGTCACTGTCCTTCACACGCTATTTAAGTGTCTTTTGCCTGTTTGCAGATGTTGTATCTTGTGAAATAGGGAAGAGTACAAGGCCTTGGTATTTACAATGGAAAACAGTAGTAGGAAGATAGGAGCAACACAGAGCTTCTAGAAAGCTTTGTTAGGGGGAGCGTAGCCCGGAAAGGAACAGCATTCGTGTTGTAGGCTCCTGGGAGCCGGGAGTTGAGACTGGCTCAGGCTATGGTGAGTTCAGGATAGCATTATATTGTTCCATTGTAGGGAATAATTTTCCTGAATGATTGTCATGTAATTACATCCCCAGTACTGTTACCCTGTTCTTACTACACTTCCAGAAAATACCCTAGCAGTAGGCAATAATACCCTTCACCCCCTGTTTCAAGCTGCATGAAAGTTTCCCTCGTCACTGACAAACCTGTTTCCTCTTTCTGTACATTTCAGATATGTGCCATCATTGGAGGAACGTTTACTGTAGCTGGGATCCTTGACTCCTGCATTTTCACAGCATCAGAGGCCTGGAAGAAGATCCAGCTGGGGAAAATGCAGTAGTGGTGAAACTCTACCCTAGTCTCCAAGGACAGGAGCAAAGATTGAGAAGTCTACCACTACCTGTTTTTGTCTTTATTTTCTGTTTGATTGAATCAGTAAGTTTTTCTCTAATCAGGCTGTTCGGTGAAGACGTCTTCAACAAATCAAAGAAATCTCCATGCATTTCAGAGCTCTGAGAGTGAAAAATCAATGGAATCAGGGCATGGATTTCGATTCTCTCCCCCCCCAGAAAGAGAGGTTGAACTGCCATATACGAAATACACCGTCAAATCTAAGTACGGATGACAGTCTGTTCTCTGGGAGGTTCCTATGGCAGTGTACAAACTAGAGGTAGTAGATTGCAAAGAGCTGAGCTGTCTTGTGGCACTTTTTGGAATTCTGTTGGATTTGCATGATTAGACAATCGACTTTTGTATAAGGCAAAATTATACATTAGGAAGAAATTCCACCCGTGGTGCCAAAAAGGTGATGTATCTGTTGGTGAGGAACGGAAAGTGTTAGTCCCTGTAGCAAACTTAGAGACAGAGGGCAGAAATAACATCAAGAAATGTTTTGTGCTTTTATTGAAAGCTCTTTTGTTCAGATATTACCTTTCTAATGAAATGAGCAAATGAGAAGAGGAAGCCTTCCCTCAGCTACCTTTTCCTGGGTAATCTATGATCCAGGCAGTGGAGGGCATTTCTTTGACTCTGGATGTAAAAGTGGTTTCATTTCTTCCCAGAAACTGAATATCCAGTCTTGTGTTTACAGGTGGCATGAAGTAAAAACCAAACTGAGCAACACAGTTTTATGTGGCCTTTGCTTTGAAAGGGAATAGTTGTCTTTACAGCATTAGCTTTTATTCTTTCTTATGTTTTTTAAACACAGACCACCCAACAGTCTGGATTCTGCACTTCTGCATTGTTGTTGTTATTATTATTATTATTATTATTGTTATTTTCAAAAAGGGTTGTATATTCTGTGTGTTCAGGAAAAACGGTGCAGTCTTCTGGGTGGATGAGCACAGCTTACTGTCTTGCTTCGTGTGTGTATATTGAATACACCTGTCAAACAAAGGAAGTCTGTCTTTTCAGGGTTTAAGGTGCCTCCCTTCTCCTTTAAAATTCAGTCAGGCATCTTTTCTGAGCCTTCGACTGACCCTGTTCACCCGCAGGTACACCAGTAGCAGGACAGGCATTCCCACAAGCTGGCCCCTGCTAATAGTTATTTTGTTTTGTTCCTTAAAATGGTACCTGAGCTTCCATGCCCGTTCATTCAAGCCTTGTCTTCTGGGACCTCCAATAAATGGAGGCGTGAGGGGAAAACTACTGTCAGGTGTGGCTTGCATGTAATGGTAGACATGAGTTCACTAAAATTAGACCAGTACCCACCAGCGCATTTTCCATAGCCTCCTAAATGTTCCTTGAGTAGTAACAGTCTCTGCATGCTTTGTGAATGTCTGAGCTGAAGATACACAAATTTTAAATGTTCCAGGATGGATAAAAATCATAAAATAAAATTTTTTAACTCAGTCAATGCTGTAAATTCTAAGAAGGGTGCAGGATTTCTCATGGATGGTATCTATTGCCCACTGCCCTTTCCTGGAGGCAGAAGTATCCAAACATTATGCTGTAATAATATGAATCTTTGAATATTCAGTGTTAATGCTAGAGTCAGATACATTTCAAACGTGTTCCCAATACATGTATGTTGAAATTGTCTCGTTGCTTTGGAAGTAGGGAAGGTAGCCAGTTTTACCCACACACCAGAAAAAAAGAAGCCAGCCGCCCTCCCCCTGCAGTCCTCTGCCCTGTAGTGACTTCGGACAGATTATGGCATTAGAATTTTTTCCCTGCTCTTATTATGGACTGATTGCTATTACTTTAGGTGTAAACTGGATTGTGTAACTTCCTGTATCTGTTAATGTATGGATAGATTTTATACATTTTTTTCCATTTAAAAAAATCAACTTGAAAATGAGATGCTTGTCTTCATTTCGGTGCGAGCGGTACCCACTGGATGGCGGCGGCTGCCTGGTGGGAGCCGGGGTTTTCCATGGCAATTGCTTCTTTTGCTAGCTGATGGATTTCCTCTAACTGCTGTTACCAGCTGAAGCTTACAGCAAAAATGTCGTAGTTTTTCCTCTTGAATTTGTTGAGTCTTTGCTCATAGCTTGTGAACCCAGTGGATGACAAGGATGGGATTTTTAGTACCTTAGCAGTGCATCCTTCTCCTGAGCTGTCCAAGAGAAGATCTTTGTAGCGCAGTGGATTGTACTGTTAGTTTTCTGAAATTTCTGCCTTTCTCCTTCTCCCCATCCTCTGTCTGAATTAAACGCTGCCTTCTGTGCAGTCCAGGCCAGTTCTCTAAACCAGACCAGGGACATTGTTTGGCTTTTTTTAGAAACAACAGATGCATACTTCAGTGTGCCTGCTTTCTCTGCCAAAATATCCACTGCAATAACCTAATAAATCACTTCTTTTTGCTAGATGTGGAAACTGAATTGTACTCAAGTTCAGATAAAACTCTGCTGAAGAAACAGTGTGCACCTTTGTTCTCTAAACCAGGTCTAAGCCTTTGAGTACTGCCAAGCCAAGGCTGCACTCTGGGTCTGCTGTAAGTTATGGTGAGCTTGTCCCTTCAGACATGGCTGGCTTGGATCGTGTAGTGATGCTGCTGCATGTGTTTACAGAAGAGCCTGCTCTTCATCTCTCCAGATGTGAAAGCGAGGTGGTTGCTGATGTAGCATTCCTGTCCCATGCATACATGTCTCATTAGATTTCACTTATGTTTTCAGTCACTTTCTAGAGGCAAAATGAGCTTAGTTATGATTTTAAACATCAACGCAAAGAAAAATAAATTCAAGCCCTAGTGGAAGGAAAACCATTGATTGTAGGTGTTCGTCCATATTCCTGACTTTGCTCTTTCACATCAATATTTTGACAGAAGGATTTGTGGTTTTCCAAGAATGACATTCCTGTAGGAAGTAAAATATTTAGAACTTGTATGTATTTCAGTTTAAATAAGTCCCACTGAAGCTACACTCCATCATATGGTGAGAACTGTGGTGTAGGATGCTTTGCAATGGTGGAATTAAAATTTTTAGCTGTGGGGAAAGCTGTACTTAGGTATATTCAGATGGTAGGTGGACTGCTGAAGATTATTTTTTCAGAAAAAAAATGGAAATGGGGTAAGGAAAAAATTGGAAGACATGCATTTGTGAATGTTTGATCTGGTTTATCAAATTTTTGCATTCAACTACTGCTCTGTAAAAAGTGAAATCTGCAATGTAGGTGGTAATGTCTGTAGTTAATTTCTGAATATTTTTCATTTAAAGTCGCTTTTTATTTGTGCGATACACAGACTGTTCAGGCTGAAAATGACTGTGGTGAGTATCTGCTTTAGAATAGTTGTTTGAAGTTTCAGATGCAATACGTCAATTTCTCAGTAGTCCTTGGAAGAAGGGAGAGAGGGGCAGGAGAGGGAGGATGTCGTCCTGTAGTGTGTTCTGGCGCTCTTTGAAGCACAAGTCTTTTGCATTTTTACAGTGGAGATTATTAAGGAGTTCTGGGATTTCCCTTTTAATTTGCAACCTTATGTTAATAAAATATTAGCCTTTTTAGTTCTATAATTAAAAATAAAGCTCTTCTGTTTTGATTGGCTTCTTGTTACGCTACTATTGCAAAATCAATCTGAAAGGGCTTTTTTCTTTTGTTTTTAATTAGTATTGCAGTGAACTAAGTGTTATCACACAATGAAATCACTGTAAGCCAGGTCACTGTGTAGAAAGTTAACACGAGGCTCTTTTGTAATCAGGACTGAGTCATGTCTGGACATTCAGTGCCTGGTTTTGAACAGTACCAAGTGTCCTAACCTCCCTTTTTTTAATGAGAGGTGAGTGGACTGTGCTTGGAACTTGCAGGGTTTGGCTTTAGTCACTGCACCACTTGGTATATAAAATAACCTCTTTTTTGTCCTTTCCCCCCCTTAATTTCCTTTTAGCCTTGCTTCACTAAGTATTTAGAAATAAATGTCTGAAGCAGTTATTAAAGATTAAATAATAAAGGGTTACAGCACAGTGCATTTGGGCGCTATGTATCTGCACTGAATTAAGAAACCAGTTCCCTTTGAGTCCTGGTATTGCTTGTTTACATTGGTGTCTGCTGTACAGCATCTTCATGAAGGAGGAGAGATCCTACTCACGTCAAATTAACCTCAAGTACAAACTGGAACTCAGATTGCCAGAAGTGACAGGATGGTGATGAAGGTTCCTTACTCTGCATAAAAGATGACTAAAGGCACTGGGAAAGGCATTTGTCCGACTCTCAGCCTGCTGCTACTCAACAGCCTGTAAACTGTTCCAGCCTGTCTTTATAAACCACAACCCAGTCAAGTGTCCGTACTGCTTCTCACCTCATCGGTGGGTTCATTCCCACCAACAGCACAAAACAACAAAAGCAATTTCCTGGAGAATAAATTAGCCTGTGTCCACAAAAGATGTAATAGCTCCAAATTACCTGAAATGCAGCAGTGTGTGGAGGTGAGTTAGGTTATGGAGGTGGGGATGCAGGTGACAGTACACACGGGCACAGGAGCGGTGTCCGGGGTGAGGGGTTTGAACTTGGCAGAAGCCCCAGGGAACTCATCTCCCTTTTGGCTGAGGGCAGTGGGCTTTCTGAGGTGGGCTGGAGAGGAGGAAGCTGGCGGGGGGTTTTCTCTGTCTTCATCCACATTAGGGGAGGAGCTGGATTTGGAGAGAATAGCTGATGCTAAATAGCGCTGTTTCCAGCTCTGGAGTCCTCAGCACACAAAGGACATGGACCTGTTGGGGCAGGTCCAGAGGAGGCCACGAAGATGGTGAGAGGCTGGAGCACCTCCTACATAAGGACAGGCTGAGAGAGTTGGGGTGTTCAACCTGGAGAAGAGAAGGCTCTGGGGGGACCTTAGAGTACCTAAAGGGGGCTACAGAAGAGATGGGGAGGGGCTCTTGGTCAGGGGCTGTAGTGACAGGATGAGGGGTAACAGGTTTAAGCTGAGAGAGGGTAGATTTAAATTAGGTATTACGAAGAAATTCTTTACTGTGAGGGTGGTGAGACACTGGCACAGGTTGCCCAGGGAAGCTGTGGATGCCCCATCCCTGGAGGGGTTCAAGGCCAGGCTGGATGAGGCTTTGAGCAACCTGGGCTAGTGGGAGGTGTCCCTGCCCATGGCAGGGGGTTGGAACTCGAAGATCCTTTCTAACCCAAACCGTCCTGTGATTCTATGATTCTGTGGCTTTGGGCATAGTGAAGGAGGGGATGCGGGGAAACCTGGGTGGGTACCGGGGGGTGATGCCCGGGGGCGATGCCCGGGTGGGTACCGGGGGGTGA